AAATAATGTCACAATGGAAAAAAAAATCTGAATTGTGCGGATACTCGCATGACAACTCTATTAACTCCTTCTTTAGCTCCAGCAGCACAGCCACTCCAATGTTGTCTTTGGTCATGACACGATTCAGCATAGCCTCTGAGCCCTCTGAATTGGCCATAGCCAGCTGGTTAAACTCTACTGTGTGTTTCTGCACCATGCTGAACCTAACAGCAAAGAAGAAAAAATCCGGTTCCATGTGTTCATTCAAAACAACACTGAAACAAACCTCTAAGACAGAGTCTGATACCACACTTCTCAACCCTTGAGTGTTACTTTACTCACTTTTCAGTCTTGTAGAATATTGCACATCCATCTACATGTTTCCTGTCTGATTCAGACATGGTTCTGGCCCGGGATTTTGGGCTGAATAATCCATCATATCCCTGTTTACTCAGCTCCACAAGGAAGTAGTTGTAATACTGCTCTGTCTCCACTTCCTGCGTATGACACAGCAGACTAAGTGACTCTGACAAAGTGCTGTAGGGGTATACATGCATTGACTATTCAGAGCTACCTGTCGTGAATTACTGAACTAAAAGAATGACCTTTAAAGAAACAAAACACAAAGAGAGAACTTAATCTACTAGGACAGGTATACTCAAATACACCAGAAGGTTACCATTGGCTTATTATGTAAAACAAACATAAGTACTTAAAAATATATATAAAATTGCATTAAACGCATTTCAGTTATGATGCATTCTGAAGAGCTTTTAAGACTGACTAACATTTTTGGCTGGTCTGAGACGTTGTAATTTTACTACACATTTTGCTGTAAAACTAAATAAGAGCAACTACAAGCTATGTAATTTTAGTACAGCTGCATTAGAAATTTAGGATTACATAAATTCTTTTTACCTGTAAGCTGATAATATCTGCATTGCAGCTGAGGATCTCCTGCATTATGGACTTCTTCCTGTAGCTCCAGTTAAGGGCCCAGGATGGGCAGTAGCCGTAGAGCTGGCGTGTGGCGTACTTATCACACAGCACATTGTAGCACATTACAGTTAACAGGGCTGATGAAGCAAAGAGGAGAAAGAAGGATCAGGCAAAGTGTCCTTAGATTTTGAATGATGTTCCACTATTTAAAAAATAAATAAAAAACATCTACCGGTTGGTCTTGTCCTTTCAGGCTCCTGCAGCACAATCCAGGACCTGGACGGAGGTGGCTCTGTTGGGACTGAGAAGGCAAAGCATATTTATTTCAGGATAATAATTTGAATCAGCTGTGCAATTTTAAGTAATATTTTCTAATAAAACATTTTTTAAAAAGCTACACTGACACTGATTTAGCTGAATTTAGAATCGATTGTGAATCTAAACAGGCTTAAAACAAATTAGCGCTACACAAAACTAAAACATCTTAATAGAAGAAGAAAAAAAAGTCACCCAGATTAACTCAGTTAAATCAGAATTTGGAACTGATTCTCAGAAACAAAATAAAATTATTTGACTTATTAAACCATTATACATCATGCATAAACTATTTTTTTACTATTATTAAAATTAATACTATTTTCCAGCAAAGAGACATTAAATTGATCAAAAGTGACAGTAATTACATTTATAATGTTATTACAACAAATTAATTTCACATAAACGTTGTTCTTTTGAACTTTCTAGTCATGAAAGAATCCTGTTTTCAACATTGATAATAATAATAATAAATGTTTCTCGAACACCAAATCAGCATATTAGAATTATTTCTGAAGGATCACGTGACACTGAAGACTGAAGTAATGGCTGAAAATTCAGCTTTGCATCACAGGAATAAATCACAATTTAAAATATATATATAAAAAACTGTTGTTTTAAATTGCAATAATAGTTCAAAATATTAATATTTTTACTTTTATCTATAAATAATAACAATAAATGCAAATAAATACAGCCTTGATGAGCACAAGATACATATTTCAAAAACTTGAAAAAAATGCAACAAGAGAGAGCAAGGGCACATCCTGGCAGCGGCAGGTCGCAGCGCCACTTCCGGTGGCATCCTCAGATTGGATTTCCTCTGGCAGCAGCCACGGTCTTTCTCGCCATTTCTGCTGTTTGCTCGGTAAAAACTACACTGTTCTCAGTGGCGAGCGATGGTGTTTTTAAATAACAAGTTCCCACAGGTGTGTTATTTATTATTATTGTTATTATTATTATTATTATTAATTATATATTTGTATGTATCAGCTGCCAGAGTTCGTGCCAGGAGTCACAATCGTTTGTCACCGTTTCTGCTGTAAACTACACTTTTTAAAAATAAAATATTTGATGACGCATTTTATATACCAGCAAGCAGATGAGACCAGAATATGAACCCAATAAGCTAAACTGCATAAGCATTTTCCCATAAAGAACATACACATAAGGAGTGCTTAGCTGTATAGACAGAATATACGCATGTGTGTGTGTATATATTGTTACAACCCTTCGTTTTGTATTTTCTCGTTTCTGTCTCTCTTTTGTTTTGAAAGTGTTTGTGTCCAGGTATGATGCTGATTGGCTCCTGCAGGCTAATGATTGGCCCATCTGGATTGGTGCATTCAAAACTAGGCACACCTTAAAAGCCCTGATGTCACTTCCTTGAGAGCAGAAGCGAGAGAGAGAGAGAGAGAGAGAGAGAGAGAGAGAGAGAGAGAGAGAGAGAGAGATAGAA